GTGGTGGTGGTGGTGGTGGTGGTGGTGGTGGTGGTGGTGGTGGTGGTGGTGGTGGTGGTGGTGGTGAGGATGATCACAGTCAAATCACCATCCCCTCCTTCACCGACTCGATCATTAATCCTTAACTGCCTTCACTGAAAACTATCTCCTCACATAATTGTTTTCGTGTAGAAATAAACACACAGCCAAATAACCACCCAATGCAGGCACCTCCCCAGTCTGACAAGCAATATCTCCCCACCCCAGTTCTGGTGTCTCTCAGCTGTGAGGAGAATTCACCCTCTCGAATGTCCTCAATGCGTCTTGCAGTGATTCGCTCAACCGCCATGTTGATGCACATCTCAGCCAATCCGACATCAGGACGTACGTTGGCTCTCACCTGAGACTCGCATGGGAAAGTAGGCCAAGGGCTGATTCTCGTGTCTCCACCGATCAAAACGAATGTGCACCAGTTGGTTGGCTATCTCTTCCTAAATAATACAATCTGATTTGAACAATTCGCCACTGCTGTCGTGCTGTGACGTCACGACGAACCCTTCCTTCACCCCTCCCTCTGTTTTATCTCTCTTCTCACAACCCTTCAACTCTTGCCTCTCTCTCTTACAACAACAACACCCAACGCTGATTGGATGGAAGAATTGAGAAGTGGTCTCGAACGAAGTGCAAGCCAGTGTGTGTATGTGTGGGATCTAGCTGTCAGTTGACATAACAGCTACCTACGACCCTCTCACGATAACTCCGACAGTCTCATCGGTTGATCGTCCTCCCGTTCTGTCTGACGAACAGGCATTCCATCACCAGGACCTCGAATGACACACAACACTGAAAATACCCCACCCCAATTTATCGATCGCAGTCTTGATACAACTGCAGGGTCGCGTTAACAGACTAATTTTTGAAGATCAAAGGCCGTCTGCAATGAACGTAATACCTCACATTCAAGTCTACATACTAGGCATTTCGATTGCGAAATGATTCATGTTCTGCAATCCCTCTTTCTTGATTGGTTACTTCTTAGAAAATTTCAAACCAATTAGTAATCCGACAGGCATCCATTCCCATCACAAATCACCGCCTATTGACCTTGTCTATCAATCAATCTACTCGACCTTCAACTGGTGATATTCCAGCTCATTATAAGAAATCGATCAAGATGAAATATCTCAAGTTAAGGGGGTTTCTACGCGATGGCGATAATTATGCAATCCGTTAAAGCCATAGGGTAAGAAGTTGGGATTGTTTCAACCCTAAAAACAGATTGGCCAATGGGATGGCGCTGAGAAAATCGATTGGCTTGTACAAAAAGTCTAATCTTTATATTTATCAAAGAGCGTGTAAAAAGTATGCCGAAAAATAAGGTGCGCAGCACATCGATAAAGTGTTTCTCCCTCGCAGAGCATCATCGAATCTTAGGGAAACGTCGGTGGGGGTTGAGGGTGACCACTAGACAAAGGGGGTGGCGGTAACGCGACAGGGCAGGTCATGAAGATCGGGTGAGGCAGTCGTAGGAACAGTTGTGTGAGCAGTTCCGGTGTTAGGAGGTCCTTGTGCTGTTGCAGGCACACACCCAGCTTCAAGACCGTCTGCACTGGCTGTCGTTGAAGTCGTGGAATTGCTGGTGGTGAGTAGTGTTCAGTTAAAGACACTTCATCAGGGGGCGGTGGTGGTGGTGGTGGAGTGATGCTGCTGCTGCTGCTGCTGCTGATGTTCGACATCTGTGAATCCGCAGTTAAGTAGGCGGAATCACTGCTCTGGAGCGAAGATCTCGCAGTCTCTGGTGAACAGTAACACAAAAATCGTCAAGTTAACCAAAACGTTTAGGATCACACGAGCTAACTACTGACCAATCAGATGTGCGTTGCTATGTCAGATACCGGTGGCTGTCAAAACGCGGTAACTTACGCAGTTGAATGGGACTGGACGTCTTGCTGAAGTCTTCAGGCATCTGCGAAAGGATTCGAGCCAGTTCGGGAGGCGGTTTTCGTGACTCTGGCAGGTGGCTCTGATGTTGAAATTGTTGCTGCTGAATAGCCAGATCCTCGGCAGCCTGTTTGCGTTTGAGAGCGACCTGCGCGGCCATAATTCGCTGACGCTCCACCACAAGCAGGCACTGCTCGCATTTGCAGTCGCGGAACGCGCAGAAACGCTTGTGGCCCTTGATCCACGCGATCACGCCGTGGTTCCTGCATCTGGCGCACTTCGGCTTTCGAACGCCCACTACGGACGGATGGAACGAGGTTTCGTCCATTCACGGGTGCTCGAGGTAGAAAGAGCGTGTCATATGTCCTCGTGGGTGCTTTTATTCAATCATCCGACGCATGGCGCGCTGATTGGTGCACTGGCCAGCCAATTAGAGCGCCGCGCGAGGTCACGCGTGTCATACCGACCGCGGTTCACCAATCGCGTGGTTACCGACTTCAAGTGGTCCTTCGATTGGCTAACCAGTCAGTTATAAGTTTTTACACCTAAATACTTGCTGAAATGGCATAAGTTTGTAGTATCTGTATAATAGTCCAAAAGCTTAATGGGAAAATGAGGATTGCTCGCATGATGCCTTAAAATCCGTGGATCTTACTGATTACTTTATAAGTACTGCATCGACTACCAACTCACTCACATGGGAAAGAGGCGTTGTGAAACTGAGAACACAGTTGAATGCCCAGGATTCTATTGAGCAGGTCAAATGGCGCGGCCTTGTCACCTCTGTTTACATGTCCAAATTACTGTTTAGTGTTTGTAGAAACACAAATGTGAAAAACACATGGGTATATTTTTGTAGATTCCATTAATTCGAGTGTACACCTATCATTGGTCAACTCAAGATCAGGTTAGGTGTTCAGAAAAGCATTAATTTTTGTCGAAGGACATTGAATTATGGGCTGTTTGCAGTGGAACACACTTACGTGATAATTAGTGATCACTAATCAATAATATACCCGTCATTATTTCCTATCACCGTCTCGCGACCTTCATTTTTTGCAAACGGTAGTTTCTAACCAATTAAATCTTCACAGAGGACGGTCTGGCGTTGTCATGGTGACAGATGAGGCCTCTTCTTTGATTTGGATGAGTTGCTCACATTGCTTCATTGTAATTACCGTCGAAGAAGCTCGTTATGAAGGATTTCTCTGCAATCTCCCCACCGTAAGCCTAACAACAACGTCATTGGATGGAATATGTCAGCATTTGCCGTGGATCCATGCATCAGGCCTCGTTTTCATTATTCCAAACAGGGTATGTTTCAGGTCCACTTGCAACCTATTCCATGAAAGGATCGTTTGTTGGCGTGAGAGATTCTATCTGAAAGATCAAAGTGTAAAACGCAAGCGCTATTGATAGATTCTGATCATTCCAATTTAATTCCTCTAATTAGATACTTGAAACATGGTTTTTCAAACCATTATCGATTTTTCTGTTTGGCTAAGCGAGTAGTCAGCTGTTTCAAAGGTGATTGGTCCATCGATCGAACAGACATGTATTTGTGCCTTGTTGTGCAGAATGCTCGATTTGCAATTTATTGCATTCATGGTACAGGGAGTTTCGAGTTGAGAAAACGAGGTTTACGATTTCTAGCAGGTCAGCGGTCACCCTGCGTCACTACGGTGACCGCACTCGCACACACACACGCACGCTAGAAAACACACATAAAACCACAATAACATGAGCATAAGCTCATCTGGTCAGCGTCCATCTGCTTAGTCGAGTCGAGCTACCCTAGCAACCACGGTCGTGATTGGTTCTCACGGGTTACAGCCACAGTGCATCCAAAGCGATTGGATCATACTTGGGATCGTGTCATCGAGGTTGGCAGTAGAAATGGACCTTGGCTTGATGTGGGTTTTTTCTGACCTCGAAAAAAGTCGGTGGGATTCCACGACGAACAGGTGGTACATCTGTGATTTGAGGCAGGTGGGCTAGCTGCCCTCTACCCCATGCAATAAACGGTTACACAGGTGCTGTGGGGATGGGTAACGCATTAGGATCGACAATATCATCTGCCCCCGTCGTCCCAGACACCACCTGCTGATTTAACTTTATCTGTTGTGGGTCGCGGTCAAAAATTCGGTAAAAAACTGCACAAATAAGGAATTTGAAGACGTCTTTCGGGTCAAAATAACATGCGTAGGTTGATTGATGACGTACTGTGTGCAACCACATCTCATTTCTTTCATCCAATCAGCTGTGAGTATTTTGGATTAGTAGTTGAGGTAGAAACCTCTTTACTTGAGATATTTCATCTTGATCGACTTTTTAAAATTAACTGGGATATCAATGAGTTGAAGGTCAAGTAGGTTGATTGATAGACAAGGTCAATAGGCGGTGATTTGTGATGGGAATGGATGCGTGTCGGATTACTAATTGGTTTGAAATTTTCTAAGAAGTAACCAATCAAGAAAGAGGGATTGCGGAACATTACTCATTTCACAATCGAAATGCCTAGTATGTAGACTTGAATGTGAGGTATTACGTTCATTGCAGACGGCCTTTGATCTTCAAAAATTAGT